TTTCAGTAACTAAAAAAATACAAAAAATATATAAATATACTTATTTTTTACAGACATTTCAAGTTTAAATTTGAAAAAATTACATATCACCACAATGAAGAACGTTTTTGTTATTTTTCTGTAATTCGGTTCCAAAACAGCATCATTTTACATAATAGTGTATTTAATATTTTTACAGTATCACTGATAATGTAAGAATAATATAAGAATAAAAATGTAATAATATTAATTCAACTTACCGGCTACCGTATTAAATATTGATAGTTAGTAATAACTTGAGCAAGGACTTTCATGCGCTAAAAAATCATCAAGGATGCATTTAATAATATGCACTTATGCATCAAAAAAATTAAAATATGCGGTTAAATATGCACTTAAAAAAATTAATTTTATTAATATTCACTATAAGTTTTAACTATGTTTATTTTATTAAATTAATTTGGAATTTTGTTTTGAATTTTGGATCAAATTCTTCTTAATTATTATTCTGTACCTAATAAAACAAAAAAGGTATTTTAAAATAATTTTTGAATTATTCACAAATATTTATCTCACCTAAATTAGATTTGCACTGAATTATTAACATTTCTTTGGTATTTTCAAATAGCAGAGAACGAATTTTATCTGTCAGTAGATTCTTATATTGCGAAAAACTCCGTTCGACGTCCACTGACGTGATCGGTGCGAATTTGAAGTAAACCATTTCACTAGCATTCAAATCTCCTTATTCATCGATGTTTTCCTCAGTGCCATTTAAAATATTTGAAAGTATACGAAGCATATTGAAACCTTTGTTTTTTTCTAATACTTTATAAGTTTTTTCCACTACTGATTTTATACTCTTCGATTGTGTATCAATTATGTTCATATCGTTTATAATTTTGTTTACAATGTTAATTGCATCGACTAGTTTTAATCCACGTGTTTCAAGCTGTGTAATCGATTTAGCTATACATAATTCCAAAGTTTACTGTAATACAAACCAAGTTTGAGTCTAATAGTTAGTCATCCAAAATATTTTTTACTTTTAATATAGCAGCTTAATCGTCATCCAACTTCACAAAAACATTTCGAATGCTTTGTATATGTTTACAATAATGGTCTGTTGTATCTAACCACGTCCCTCAACGAGTAATTATAGATTCTGGTGGTAGCATTACTTCAGGAGCTACGTTTTTAAAAATTTGGACTAGATGTGGTGCTTTTAAAAAAAGTTTTTTTAACATTTGAAATTAGTTGGTCTACTTTTGGAAGCATGTTACGAACCTCCTCTGCATTCTGCAACCCTGTGAAGACGATGAGCCAAACATGTAATGTGGGCCATATATGGTGCTGCGCCGGTAACAAAAAGTAAAATTAAAAAAACTCTAAAAAAAAGTAACTCTTAAAATGAGTGTTTTGTAGTTTATATAGTGGTGTATTATTTTCCAGATAGCCAGGCTTTACATAAATCTAAATTGAATTCAGATAGTTTTGTGTTTTGATTTCTAACCAATTGTTGCACATTATTTGTTTCTTTGTTTTCTAAACGTGCTGAACTTCTAATGTGTTTGTCAGTTTTTAGATGTTGTACGACACTAAAACGTTTTTCACTTGCTACTTTCAAGTTACAGATTTTCCAAAATAAAAAAATATTAACCGTTGAAAATATAGATTCAACAAATTCGATTACAAAATTACACAAACGATGAATTTTTGTCGATTTTTTACTAATAACAATATAAAATATTCTAGACTGAAATACCGTCTTTACTGAGAATCGTTTTTCGTATATTATATCATTTAATTCAAATTTAATAAAATCCATTACAATGTATAGAAATCTTCTAGACACCTATAATGTACAGCAAAGCGACATCCACCTACTCGCTTTTTTTAAGATTAAAAACACAATATACCAGGTTGAATGCAATTTTGAAAGAAAATATTGTATTTGAAAATGTCCATGTATGTATTAAATATAATATAAAATACTTTAAAAGTTACTCGTAGGTACCCACGAATAAAATTTTTAAATCACAACGAAACAATTAAATTGATATACTTTGTTTATATATCTGTCTAATATCGTCCAAATTTGATGTGTCTTATTTATGATTTGTCTTTATTATTGAATATTAAAATTATCTTTTTTAATTATTTTAATTTTAATTTTGAATTGTGACAATATACTTATAGTTTATTTGGTTCGAAAATGAACTATTTACAAGTAATCTTGTATTACATTTTCAAACCTTAACAGTTAGTTGAAAATTGAAAATTTTATATACATTTTAACAACAAAATAATTTGAAAATATTGGTGATTTTGAAGAATATTGTCAGAATTTGAACTCCAAACGTTTGTAACAAAACATTCTGCTTTTATTGTGTATAACATTAATATTTTTAAATTATTAAAGTAACAACTTATAAGAAACCATTGGAAAAATTTATTGAATATTCAAGGTCTTTGACCCAGCTAACTATTTTAATAGTTATATTAATATATAAATCTATATATATTTGTATATATTAATCTTTTTTTAGATATCTAATTTTGTCTAAGTTCGACATTCAAATGTTATTAAAAAAACTGCGTTTTTATCTACATATTTGTTAGATTTTTCGGTTACACTGTTACAGTATGTCACAACTTCCATGGAACCTTGTTTTAAATTATCAATTACTAGCTATAATTGAACAATTTATTCATTTTTAACTACTAAATAATTGTAATTTTTATTTTGACAAATTTAATCAAAATTTGAGCATTAAATGCTCATAAAAAAAACATGGCTATGTAATTTAATATTTTTAAACTGCCAATGACTTATGAAGAACCTAGTGTCAAATTTTCAATTCAACGAAGACAATTTAATTGGTATTTATGGAAAAAAATTCAAATTTTAAATATCCATACACAACTGAAGAAGTGTTAAAATATATTAATAAAATAAACATATAGTGTAAATATCAAATTTTTAGGTACCTTTATTCGTTTTCGAATTACAGCAAAATAAGAAAATGGATTCATGAGAAATCAATATATATATATCTGTATATGTATATAATATATACATCTGTTCAAGGTACTTCTGATTCAGATTCAGATAAAAATCTTGTTTTTAAATTGTTCAAGCCATAGGCGTGCGCACAGGGTATGCAGGGTATGCCGCTGCATAGTCTGCGGCTTTATGTGAGGGGCCCATATATGATATACCAAAACATTTTTGATATCTTCTATATTATTAGAAAAAATAATAAAAATTTTAGTTTTCACTTTTCTCGCGACCCGCAAGATAATCTTAACTATTAAATATTAATACACTAAAGCGTAACACGTAGATATTGTTATCTATGTTGCAAGAATAGAATAATTATTATTGTTTTTATAGTTTGTAATCAAAGACCATATTATTATTATAACTGAGTCCGGTATCATGTCAACATCGATGTGTAATCATGGCATAATTTAATAAGTATTACTACTATCATTGTTATAATATGGTACTGGTTAGTGGTTGGATAGATAAGCTTTAAGTTTTGTTATCTCATATCTGTGATTTTACCGCCAAACGTTACTGATAGACAATAGAACGTTTACCATGAAAAGTTGAACTGTATTTCGACGAGCCGATGTTTTTTGACATAATTCGTTAATCGTTTAGAGTGTTTAGACTAATTTATTCCTTATTGACATTATTAAGTTCTGTTGTTAAAATTTAAAATGTCTCAGAAGACCAATAATTACCCTAGTGGTTCCACAAAAAGGAAAAAAGCACAGAAAAAAAATGAAGAAATAAATAAGATCCGAGGGTCTCTGGACAGGTTTTGTACAAAAATCTTACAAATAAATGGTAAGTAAAATATTTTGTTTTCCTAACAAATAAACATTTTATGAATAACGTTAATTTAATAACTAACATTTTTTTAAATTGAATCTACTTAGTTATAACATAATTATTTGATTTTTACTTAGAAAATACATCTATTGACACAGAACTTCCATCGGAATCTGCTGGTAAGTGCACCACTGCAAAAAAGTTTTCTAGAACTTAAAATTAATATGTTTTATTATTTTACTTTTACTTAAATATAACTAAATTACTAAATTAATTAATTATTTGAATATAGTTATTCTATAAAAGTCTTTTACTGTTAATACTTAATGATACTTGTTACCTAAGTACCTAAATGACAAAAAAATGCTTTACTAACATAATAATATATGATATATATCAGATATCTGCATTATTTAATTATTTATGTGAAATCAACATTTACACTTAACATTTATTTAACAATTCACATTTTTAATTGAAACTAATCTGTTATAATAATATTATTATTATTTTTTATTCATGTTTAGAAAATACATCTATTGAAACAGAACTCCCATCGGAATCTGCTGGTAAGTCTGCACAGCAATCTTACTAGAGCTTAAAAGTTAAAACTAAGTTTTACTAGTTTACTGCAGATTTATCTAAATTCTTTAACCTCTAATTTTAATATATTTTATTCTAGATGAAAATATTCTAAAAAAGCCTTTTGATACTGTTGATGATTCTACTGGAGACCAAGGTAAAGCATTTTTTTTTTAAGTGTATACTAACGTCTAACATGTCTAAATGTGTTAACTATGTGTCTATGTTATTTAAAGTTAATTTATCTGTTAATATGATATGTTAACTAACTGTTCATTGTCATTTTTGTTAACATTTAATATGTGTTTTATTTTGTTTGTAGTAGGTACTTATAAGACAATCAGTGTATTTAAATTAAGTGAAATGTTGTATTATTAACTTACTGGTGTATTAATTGTGTATGTATGTAGCATTGTAGCTTATAATTTGTATACTAATCAATAATTACTTATAATAAATTATTAAAAATTGATTTATTTGTTCATTGTTTTTATGGTACTATTTTTTATAAGGAACTAATCTAATATTCTCCATACTTTATATTTACATATTATATAGCTTCTTATGTTGCTTGTTTTTATAATATAATAGTAGGTACATAGTACATTTGAAATTGTCCTGGTGGTTGATATCTTAGATATAGAATATATGTGCTAGGTATTTATGTTGTTATTTTCATTGTTGAATTTTCTATTTGCTAACATTAAGGTAACTATAAATTATAGGCACTATAGTCAACATAAATCAAACACAGTGTACAAGTTCAGGCCCATTAATTCACCCTGACGACCCTTCAAATGTTTTTACATCATTTCGACTTGAACTAAAAGAAAGAGTTATTCGAGGTCCATACAGGGTTGCCACCCGTACTATTTTTTAAAGTATTGTACTTCTTTTTTCACTTCTGTACTTTGGACTTTGTAGTCTTAATAAAGTACGCTAAAATACTTTATTTCTTATAATATTTACTTGAGGAAATTATTTTCGTCAATTATTCTTAACACGGAATAATGATATTGTGGGGACGCTAATAAATTGTATAATATTATTATTTTAGAAGTAATAGTATTCAATATTACAATTAATATTAATCAATTTTATTATTATTCTTAGTATTTTTGTATTATTTTAGTATTATAAGCAATCGCAAGCGTTGCTGTCGTGCACTACCACGAGTCCACGAATGAGTTTAATGCGATCGATGAATTAATCTTATCAGTTTTTCCAGCCTTCACGCAAACGGCACGCCGCACACGTCATTCTATTCTTGGAACGGATATTATTGTTGTTTTCAGTTAATTTAGTATTTTAGTGTTTAGTGGTTTACTAAACCAGGTTTAGTCACTTCTTCAGTGTTCACGAACAGTCAACGACCAACACATGTCACATGTTGTCTGCAGTTGTATTAAAATTCATTAATTTTAGTTATTTATTCATTATTAAATAAAATCGTACATTTGATATGGTAAGTTAATAATATAATAAATACAAATTATAACTCAGTCAACAATTTAGGACGTAGTACTTTGTTACAAACTATTAAAATAAATATTGGTTTTCTTTTTGTTTAATATATAGGATTCGTCTGCTGACGAACCACTTTCAGATGATTTAAATAGCACGAAAAACCGTGTTAAAAGAAAACAATGTTTTAAGGATGATTGGATTCAATCACATAAATGAGTTGGTAAATCTGAAGACAAATATGAAGCCTACTGTCATTCATGCAAAGTTAAATTTTCTGTAGGAAACTCTGGCATAGCTGCGGTAAGTTTTTTAAATATTCATAAATTAAGTAAAAAGTAACTATGAAATATATTTATATTTAACTAGATTAAACAACACGAGATAAGTAAAAAGCATAAAAGTTCACAGTCAAGTTTACTTAAAAATAAAACTATCGACTTTTATGGATTCAAAGGACCTACTGCCGATAAAGAAGAAAATCAAGTAATTGCTTGTGAACTTGTCCAAGTTTACCATACCGTTAAACATAATTTGTCTTATAATAGTTTAGATTGCTGTATAAAAGTTGAAAAAAAAATATATAAAGATTTTAAAATGTTAAACAAATTACATTTAGGTAGGACAAAGGCTGAAAGTATTGTAACTGAAGTATTAGGGCCAGCTTATCTCCATAAAATAATTGATTATTTAAATAGTGAAAATGTTATTGCTTTTTCTATTCAAACTGATGCTAGCAACAAAAAAAATGTAAAGCTTTTTCCTCTCAGTGTCCAATATTTCAGTATTGAAA